CGTTCACATTATCAATAAATGCCGCTCTAAGTCACCTGTCATTATGAAGCTAATGCGACGACTAGTAATCATGGCAGCATCCCACAGTTTCATGTTTCAAGCTCAACATATCCCTGGGAAGCTTAACACAATTGCTGATTCTTTGTCTCGTTTCCAGATACAACGTTTTCGGGAAGTGGCTCCACTCGCAGACAATCCCCGTGCCTGATTCCCTCCGAAGTAATGTTCAGCTGAACCAAGCGCTGGTCACCTTCCAAAGAGCGGCTCTCAGTGCACGTACAATTGGATCATATTCAACAGGAGTACGCGCATGGTTACGTTTCACAGCTTTGTCAGAAATCCCAGGGCAGTCAACTTCGCATCCCCGTATCTCAGAAGACATCCTGATATATTTTGTGACGCATTGCGCTACGAACTTGCATCTTAAATACACCACTATTAAGGTATATCTGGCAGGCATACGGAATTACTACATATTAGGTGGCTACCCTAATCCACTGCTTACTCTACAAGGTCAGTCACCTCTTCGACGAGGAATTCTATGTCTCCAAGGAAATGAAACCCGACCACGTTTGCCTATAACGGTAGATATACTCCAACGTTTGTGCAACCTACTCCGTCAGGGGGTATTTGGTCCTTATTTCGGCTTGCGGCTTTTCCCAACAGGCACGCCTTTTTGTCCAGTTACAACGCTGCAGCAATTTTTATCCGTGCGGCATAAGATGTTTCCCCTTGCAACCGAACCACTGTTTCTGCTTCCGGAACTAACACCCCTTAATCGTCGTATCTTCACAGAGTCTCTCCGTATATTGCTCGCAAGGATTGGACTACAACCGCATTTGTTTGCAGGACACTCCTTCCGCATCGGAGCAGCTACCACTGCAGCAAGTGCTCACATTCCTGATCACCTCATCCAAACATTTGGCAGATGGTCCAGCAACTGTTATCGTACCTACACCAGAACACCAGAGAGCCTCCTACAACATGCCTTTCATAAAATGGCAACATTGTAAATAGCATCTGACATTTACAGAATTGAGAACGTTCACCGCATCCAATATTCAGTATTCAGAACATTTTTATTAAATCATGTACAGCATCCGACATTTACAGTATTCTGTACTTTTCTATTTCCTCATGTTCAGCATCTGTCAGAACCTTTCTATTGCATCATGTTACAGCATCCAATATTTACAGTTTTCAGACTATACTATTGCATCATGTACAGCATCCGGCATTTACAGGGTATTGGAGTCAATTTGTAATATTCAGTATGTTCGCTTATTTTTGTCATTCCTACATCTAACCACTACCACATGGGTCGTTCATGCGCACATGTCACCCAGGACCCCGCTCCCCAAGCCGCGCATATATCATATGCCCCTTTGGCTGGAGCATCCTAGCATTACTCACATGTCACCCAGGACCCTGCTCCCCAAGCCGCGCATATTTCATATGCCCCTT